ATGCGAATTACGATGTGCATTATTGCCCCAGCAGACCCTAGAACACTGCGAAACGTTCTCGTCTTCCCGGGAAGCATAAGCCGTTAAGCCCTCAAACACTAACAAACAAACTGACAGTATTTTCTGCATTCAGCGGGATCATCTCTTCCTTACCCTCAAAGTGTTGAAAGCGGCGTAAAGCTCAATCTATACCTCGATGACATCACGTCAGTTCACCAGTTAGCTCCTATCTTCCCATGCTTTCTCCACTGGCGTCTGTGTGTAGCGGTTAAAGTGAATGCCCACTAGCTCGATCGGGTCGGGTCGGGTCGGGTCGAATCGATTTGAAAGTCAGGGCTAGTCAAATTGAGAGTGAAAAGCGGCCATCGTGGCACAAACCGATCGACTGAGTCGGTTACCTGCAAAAACAAACGCGTTTGTTTTTCAGGCTTGCGAGTTGCGCGATCGGGTGGTTTGCAGCCAGTCACAACAAGGCTGAATCACGTGTCCATGTTGACAGTAAAAAAACCCTTGGCGCCCTTTTCGAAAAAGTGCGGACTTTGCGAACAGTTACTCTACTTGTGTGGAAAAAAACAATAAAAGCGAAACTAACAAAAAGTGCTATTCCTATTTTTCTTCTGGAGAAACGAAAGAGCTTTAAAACAAAGACTGTTCCACCCGGGTCAGCTATGGTAGGCGTGGACAGGGCAGTCCGCCTCTTGAAGTATCTAACTAGTGTCGATAAGAGCGTAAAACGTCTACAATAACTCTTTAACAAATAGTGTTGAAAGGAACGTAAGCCTAAACATACCTCGATGACGTATTTTTCTTTTTCACTAACCCACCAGTCAGCTTCTTACTCTCCAGACCTAGACCAGATGAAGAAACACGCGAAGTGATGACGCAACTGTCAAGGACGATATGGCTTCATGTTTTGTTTACTTGACAACTTCTTGAGGCTGCAAGATGGCTGTAAAGTGCAAGAAATTTCCCTTCCGTCTGTCTATGACCTTCAAACAAAAATTTTGCAATTGTCTCTCATCAGCATTTTCATAAAAATATAGAGAAAAAAACAACAAAAAACCCTCCCCTCCCACAGAGAAACAAACAAACAATGTTTTTAAAATCCCAAACCAAACCTAAGCATGTTTAAACGTTTTGTGTTGTTGAATGGCCTAGATCTAGCTGAACTGCACACATCGTGCTGAGGTCGTTATAAAATACATTAAAATTTGTTTCCAGAATTTGAAAAAAATGGACATAAGAAACATGCGGAAATATTTCAACAATATTGCATATCGTATAGAATTGTTTTTCCATACAACAGTGGAGAATATTAACATGTTTGCTCTAACCCCTGTAAACATCTATCTCCCTTTGAACTTCTGGGAAACCTTTTTAAAAATTTTATGTGATGTTCTCTTTTTTTTTTATTTGTTCTGTTTTATTTTATTTCGTTTTATTGTATTTAATTTTATATATCATAACAAAT